TATGTACCTTCTCTTTCAGAAAAGAAGACGATTAAGAAACGTTTACCTTATATTGTATACAATTACAAAACTGACTTGACGCTCAAACAGATTAAGAATTAATCTTTTTGAATAATGTGGATACATATCCCCCTCTCTCTAACTGGAAGTGGAAAGTGAAACTGGCTAACAGCAAAGTCAAAACAGTTAGATGACATTGCTTTATAGATGAAGTAAAATTTTAATTATTTTTGTTGTTGCGTTTGATTACATTTCTTTGTTAAAAGGAATTTAAATAGAGCTGGTTACGACATTGTTTTCTTCGTACGTCACCTTTAGGCCAAATGTTTTTCATATTAGTTAAAAAGAAAATTGATTAGTAATAGACCATATATCACCTTATTATTTGCGTAATTTTGGTATATCTAAATTAGTTTTTTTTTGTATTGAAAAAAGAAGAAGGTGTTTTATGTATATTCTTTTTTTTTTAGCGTAAGAGTAACAAGAAATAAAGCAGAATCCAAAGCATCAAAGTGAAATCCATGCCCATTTTATTTTTTCCGAATGAGACTAATCACAGTAAATACTAAATACTATTTGAAAGATGATCAGAATAATTATAAAGTAGCCACAAGGCAGAAGTAAGCTATTATTTTCCGAATTAGGCAGTAATAACAAGTAGGGAACGGTATAGTTTTTTTTTGGGATTTCATACTTTCAGTACTTTGTATGTAAATGATATATAGCTTTGATGGGCATCATTGCATATATGAATGGTTTTGAATTATTGGTAAATGATATACTTGGAATGCGTTCATATTTCATATATGAATGGTTTTGAATTATTGGTAAATGATATCTCAAAAATATAATATCTACACAGGAAAAATTTGTAGTTACTTTCTGGCATCAAAATTCAATATATTTATATTTTATGTTATCTCGTACTTTCTATATTTGGAAATGATACCTAAGCTTAACTCTTAAAAAAACAAACATAATTGTAAAATAATATTAATATTGTGGTTAGATAGATAGAAGAAAAGAAGAAAAAGGGAAAAAATGCAAATAGTTTCAATATAGGGAATATTACTAATTGTAGTACGTTATCTGGAGAAAGACAAGAAGTAGGTAAAAGAATCATGCTTATAATTTATCTTCCAGTCCTTATTTACCTTTATATTCAAGAAAAGAAGAGGATTAAGAAATGTTTACCTTATATTTTATACTAATTACAAAAGTGACTTGAGCTCTGAAGCTGATTTAGAATTAAACTTTTTGAACAATGTGAATACAGATCCTTCTCTTTCTAATTAAACAGAGCTGGATACCCACATGCATTGTGGTGTTCGTACGTCACTTTTAGGTCGAATGTTTTTTCATATTAGTTAAAAATAATTTCATTAGTTGCAGACTATATGTCACCTTATTATTTGTGTAATGGTTGTATATCTAATTAATTAGTTATATGTATCTGTAATGAAAAAAAGGTAATTATGTAGTATTTGTTGAGCATGAGAGCAATTCTAAGAAAAAACTTTAACAAAGTAGAATCCAAAGCATCGAACATATTAAATATAGTATGATACTCCTTGTCCATTTTATTTCGTCCGAAATATACTAATCACGGTAAATATACTAAATACTTTGGGAAAGATGATAAGAATAATAAAGTAGCCGCTAGGCAATAATAAGCTATTTATTTTCCGAATTAAGCACTAATAACATTAGGAAACTGTCTCGTGACTTATTCATCGCCGCTGTCAGAAGCATGCATTAACTCATCTGTGTCTATTGTTATTTCATCTGCCGCCGGAGCCTCTGGTTCAGCCTCTTCCCCCAAATCTTCGCGTAATTGGTTCATGCATTGACGGAGCACGTCTCGCACGTTTTGCAGCCCAATGACATCGACCCTCTGTGTGTTGAACCACAAACAGTATAGGTCATTTTAGAAGCTAGCAAGATAATCAGCTTTATCTATTAAAAACGCACACGTACAATTCTACTCTGATCGTTAAACCAAGTTTACTTGAATGAGAATAAAGACGCATTCGGTTCTTACCTGGTTGATCGTAGGCTCCATTTCGTCGAGAAGGCCGTGGAACCTTTGCAACGCACCATGAATCTCGTTTCTCAGAAAAAAACTAGATCGTTCTCCATTCTAACTGTGACTATACTAATCAAATATGATAAATCTTTGCAAAGAAATTATAAAATAATAAGAATCGTGTGTGTAGTGTGGTGCTTATATTGTGTTTATATAGCCGAGGCCCAAGGGGAAGGCTTTGATGCCTCTTAGGTAAGTCTTCGTAATAACAAAAATATACTCTAATTTTTATCAAATTGCATATCAAAACTCTTGTACGCGCGCGCTTTGTAAACTCTTGTGCGCTCTTCGGTAGAGTTATTAAAAGTTTACCTAAAATGATTTATTAGACGGTTTCATAATTAAGTTGAAATATTTGTGGAAATGAATTTTAGCTAAAATATTACGATCTTAAGTCTTAACATTCTCTCTCACCCGCCTAATTACATTTACAAAAAGTGAATTTCGTATATTATGTAATTTAAAAGGATGGATATATAATTCTCTCAAAATGTATATATAACATTTGTTGTCCTGCAGAATAAGGTATTTCTTATGAGATTGAATCTGGAATACGTTGCTTTATAACAACACTACAAAATGCGTCTGGCTTAATTAATTAATAGTACAATATATTACCGAGATACTTCATTACTAATGCTACGTGTTTTGGTTTATTATTTTGTTTTAATATTTTGGTTATCTAGAAAAATTCTAACTTAATTCTTGTTGCTCAAATGAGATTCTCGACGTAGACACATAGCCGGTTCGACGATTTTTGATGTCCTATTCAAATCTAAGATATTTTTTATTGTATTTAATATAAAAAATTATAGTTAAAAATTTTTATTTAAAAAAATCCAATTTCAAACAAACAATTTAAATTTATAATTAGTTTATAAAAAATATATATATCATTGAAAATAGCCTTCTTTACATTTTTGTTTGCAAAATCATTTATTAAATTCACATAATATAGTTTTCCAACCATAATTGTCTCAGTCGATAATAAAAACAGTTCATTCAATCTTTTTATGACATTGTAGATTGCAAATAATTTTTAATAAACTTTAACTTGAAATATATATATATTAATAAATAATTCTAATATTGAATATTTTTAAAAATAATGCCCCTAAAATTTTTGATGCCCTAATTCTTGGCTTCTCCTGTTCTTGTCTCATGGGCTGGCCCTGCGTAAGCAAGCTGGAGCACATCCCTGAGATGCTTTTACAAGACTTTGGTTTAGCAAATAAAGAATACCCGATATAGAAATAACAAGAAAAAAACGATAATATATACGTATGTGATCCAAAATTTTTAACAAAAAAATGTGATCCATAGTTATAATTTAAGTGAAAACACAGATATGAAGCACAACTTTAAAAGACACTTTAAAATTACGTAGCATACATTTATTTATCCTGTATATAAGTTAAAGTCATAGTCCACAAGACTCACAAGCCACACAAGCCACACAACCCATCATATTTGTTTTTACGCGAAAAAATAAAATAGTATATAACCGTTTTTTTAATGTGAAGTGGCAACCAGAAAAAAAAAACAGTTCATGTGATAATAATATAATTAGTTTATTCTTAAACTGTTTGTCCTTTAAAAGTTGTAAACAATTTTATATAATTTCTATAGGAATACTCGTTCGATGTACATTTTTATCATATACTTTTGACGTGAGAGAAAAAATTCTACAACTTCTGCCTATATAGATATATATGATCTAAAGTTTGACAAAACCACGTGCTAATTAATGAATTGGATCCGGCCATTGTAATGTGTTAGAGGGAAAATAATCACATTTCTTAAAAAGTTTTTTCTAGCAGTAATCCAAGCCCATCAAGATCAGGAAAACTGTATCGATTTAACTCGGATTAAAGGAAATATCCTAAAGATATACTTATCGAAGAATGGAAACATCGGATCAACTCGAAGGATAAAAGAGAATTTCTATATTTTTCGGAGAATAAGAGATATTTCCATATAGCAAATATGGAAATATTTATTAAAAGAAAAAAGAAAAATGAGTTCGGAGCAACCGACCTCCTATCTTTATAAATAAAGGGATCCGAAGCTAAGGAAACCAACTCATATATTCTAGAGAGCAGCAGAGCTAAAACCAAAGACTCCAACGCTTTCTTGTTTACATCGCAAACACCTTTTTCACTTTGACATAACCTCTCGGTTATACCATTCTTTGTAATCTTTTCGCTTACTTGCTATTAATAAAAAGACTTTATTCTCTGAAACCCACAACTGTTAATCAAACTCTAGTGGTGATTTTCTGGTTCAACATAATGCATGTTGTAATGCACACAAAACATTTTAAGGAAAATTGGAAAAAAAATATGATTTTTACTATATGGGGATCATATCAAGTATTATAAGTTTCACATATTACTTATTTACATAAGAAAATTACTGTAATTGATAGAAAAAATTATCTTCTAATTTATTTTTTGAATTTGATTTTTTTTCTTAAACAAGGTTAGTATGGTATAAAACTATCCACTAAAAAGAATTAGTTATATATAGTTATATAAAACTATCCACTAGTTTGCAAACAATTTGAATTTTTGAATTTATGTATACATGTTACAGTAATGTATTTCACTTCAAATGAAGCAAAAATCTGTAATGTTTTGTGTTTCTAAATTTCCGTTTGCATTTACAATTTGTAAAATATTTCATTAAAATGCATAAAAAACATCTAGATATTTACATGAAGATGATATTATATCATGTTGAAGTAACAGAAACCTCAAACCTAATTTGTGAAACAAGAACATTACTCACTTTATTTGTGGATCAAGCAACCATGTGAGAGAACCTCTCTATCACAAGAAAATATTTTTTTAACAAAACAACCAAAAAGAGACCACAAATTCACAATCCTTCAAAGGAATACATAATATCATTCTTAGCAATCGATCAAAAGGCAGTTCTGTGAAAGTGAGGTCGTATCGGTTTTGGAGACGAAAGGATTGATACGAACCCAGACAAGAGAAAACACAGAAGCAAGCAAGATGGACCAGAGAATAACAATGGTGGGTGTTCTGTTCTGTCTTCCCATAAGACCTTTAAGGAAAGGATAAAGATGAAGAACGACCCAAAAGGCGAAGAAAATTTTCCCAAACAAAGGTCCCCAAGCTTCATAACCTTTGTTTAAAGCATCAGAGAATCCAGCAACGACCCCAACCAAGTTAACTATGAGAAGTGTCGTCGGAGGAATCAAGAGTGTTGTCCACTTGACAATGTAAAGCTCGCCGAACTCTAAATCTTCCGCGGTTTTAGACGTGACCGTGAAGTTAGTGTCGAGACCGGCGAGCATTTTGAGGAAACCTTGGAAGACGGCGAATAGATGAGCTGAGACGCCTCCGATCACCCAGAACTGCTCGTTTCTCCATAAGTCTTCGATGCTCACTCCGCTCCATCGAAGCTCGAGGACGCTTGTTAAGATGATTGATATGAAGAGACCTAGAAACAGCATGCTTGCTAGGTTTGATAGCTGCAAGCAAGAACAGCAACAAGATCAGTCAGTTCGGTCTGAATTTGAAATAAACCGAAGCTAAACCGAATATTACCGTTGGGATGATGAATTTTCCGGTGAGAAGGCAAATGGCAGGAAGAGTACAGTAAGCAACAAGGGGCAAAGAGGTGAATGGATAAACAATGGTGTTAACATAAGCCATCCTCTGGAGCCACTTGAGGCGGCCTCCGCTGCAACCGTACCAGAGAGGACAATGCCGGCTAAGGAAGATCTCGACCGAGCCAAGAGCCCAACGCAGAACCTGGTGAAGCCTATCCGATAGATTGATTGGAGCAGATCCTTTAAAAGCCGGTCTTAACGGCATACAGTATATCGACCTCCATCCACGGCAATGCATCTTGAAACCCGTCAAAATATCTTCCGTGATTGATCCGTAAATCCATCCGATCTGCGAAAAAACAGAGTAAAAAAGATTATGGCTTCATCCACAAGAAATAGTAAAAGTTGAGAATTTTGATAGTAAAAAGTTAAAGAAAGAAGAATCACTTCTTTGCCCCATTCGGTTTTCTCTTCGTATCCGCAGCTAATGACATGGATAGCTTCTTTGATGAGCGTTGACGGGTTTACAGAGTCGGGAACGCCGCCATTCTCCATGAGAGTAGACTCGATGAAAACCGCAGAGAGACCAAACGTTTTCTCAAAGCTTGTCTGTGAGATCAGCATCGATCTCTCGTACTCATCGTAGTTGTCTAGGTCACCGAGGTTGAAGATTGCAGCGTCAAGCTCTTCTCGCTTCGCGTCTTTGTAGATCTCTGAAGGATCTTGGGTTGGTTTTTTCTTGCTTGGACAACAGCAAAAAGACGAGGAAGAAGATTGTGGTAACATCCTTGGTTTAGAAGGAGGACTATATCCGTAAAGCGCTTGTCTTCTAAAGACAGTACCGGTTCCGACGTAAACCGGACCTTGAATCCCATCAAGACCTCTCATATTAACCTGAAAACCAAAGTCGCAAGAAATTCAGAGAAACCCCCGCAAGATTTTCTTGAAACTATGAGAAAACGAGTTTGGCATTTACATCGAAGAAAACAATGTTTCGGTTAGCATATCGATCACTCTTGTCGATCCCATCAAATCTCTGTGGGAACTGAACATAGCAGACATCTGGACCAACAACAGGGTCCATTAAAAAGCACATTGCTTCACGTACGGCTTTACTGTTGTTGACGTAATGATCACAGTCAAGGTTAAGAATGAATGGAGCATTCGTCAGAACCGCAGAAACCCTCACCTATACAAAGAACAAACTCATTAGGATTCTGTTACAACTTAAAACTTTTAGTGTTTAGTTTTCGATTAGAAAGGATCTAAGATTTGAAGTTTACCAATGCGTTCTCTGCCCCAGCCTTCTTGTGATGCTGATATCCAGGTCTCTTCTCTCGAGAGACGTAAACCAATCTTGGAAGTTCGTTTCCTTCAATGTCACGAGCACCACTATATCCAAGAAACACCTGCAAAAGAAGATCAAAGATTCAGAAGAAATCTCTCTTAAAGACATGTTTGATTGGAAGACACAATCAAATATAGATCAAATGTTTAAGATAGCAAACCTGAATCATCCCGGGATGGTCACGAGTGTTGTTACCGGGCCAAGAAGTTCCATCTTGCATCGTCCATCCTTCTTCTGGTGTCTTTTGAGCCTTGGCGACTAAAGCATTCATTCTAATCTTGAACTCTTCATAGTCTCTCTATACAAAATAAGAAACTAGGGTTAAGTAATCGGATAACGCTATGATCTTAATTAAGGATTTGAAAACCCTTTGCTTACTTACTTTCATGGCTCTACGTTCTTTCACAAAAGAAGGCTGAACCTTGTCCCTCAAGTAATCGATTTTAAGCGAGAAGTAAAACTCTGGAGCTCGTGGCTCTATCGAGTACTTCTTGCAGAAAGGTACCCATTTCCTAGCAAAATCTGCTGTCTCAACCAAAGACTCAAACGAAAGCATTGCAGCGCCATCATCAGATACATAGCAAGAAACTTTATCCACCGGATAGTCAAGCGCGAGGATGGAGAGCACCGTGTTTGCAGTGATCAAAGGTGGCTCCTTTAATGGATCCACTGTACTAACAAAGAAATCCACCGCTGCAAGCTGAGATGGCTCGCCTTCTCTTTCGAATCTACAAAGTTTTGACAATGATTTATCAAGATATGTACTATTCCGTGCAGAGTAAGCAACTGAAGGTTCCGAAAAGACTCTGTACCTTGCGGATAAACGATCGATGTAAGTTTCTCGGTTAATAGGAGACCATTTAGGGAACTGATCCAACACCCATGAAACAGCAAACCATATCTCACATATCACAGATGTTAGCCATAGACCATAAGCACTATCGACAGGATGCGTGATACGGTAGTTGAAAAACAGAGCCAAGATGATCAACCGCATGATGATGACGATTCTGTACGCAGTTATCTTTGTCCTCGGGACAGGTATCACAACCGAGAGCACATCTGTAGCAGCAGCCTCTGTGTTCCTGTGAAAGAAAATGGAACAGATCAACAAATTACCTCAAAAAGTCTCAAACTTTCTAGGGTTTCACCTAATGAGAAGGTGCTTACGGTTGCATTTCTTCCATGTGCTGCTGAGGAGGAACCTGAGCCTCATGTTCTTCAGCTTTTGTTGCCTTTGCATCTTTCTTCTTCTTCTTGCTCTTCTTGTCTTTCTTATCTTTCCAGCTCTCGACTCTGTTCTTCCATATCGGGTTTCCGTATTCATCATTAAGTTCTTCAACAAGAAACCACAATCTCATAGTTAGCTTAAGCTATTTAACCTCATCAAAAGTTAAAAACTTTTGGGGTTTGATTTTTAGTTCTCACCACTGTCAATTGTGGAGACTGTACTTATATGTCTAGCATGAATTCCAGAATCCTGAAAACTCAAGAATAGTTATCATCAAATCCATTTGGCAAATCTAATTAAGACATAAGAAAACAGATGATCAATAGCAAACACCTGAGGAGTATTATTAATGTGTGTTGCACTAGTGGATTGGTTTTTAGATGTCTTTGTCTCAACATCATCAAGGACATTCTCTGAGAAAGAAAGAAACAAAAAAAAACCAAAATTGTAAATGCCCTTCAACAAAAAAAAAGAAGCAAATTTATGAAAACCCATTTGCAGAAAACCTGATTTACCATCGTAAGGATTGCCGCAACGCAAGCAGATTCTACGTCCTTCTTTGAATTCATACTCAAGACAAGCTTTGCAGATCGGGAAACTACACTCATGGCAAGCAACGAAGAACTCGCCGTTTGGTTTTACACCAATATCCTCGCCGCAAGTGTTGCACACCGGAGACTTCGACTCCATCATCTTTGATTTCCCCTGATTTGGGAAGAAGAAAGAGATAGTTGAAAAAAAAACAAACCCTTATTAGGGGCTGAGATTCGGTTGGGCAAGAGATTGAGAAGCCATGAAGGTGTTTTGTAAGAGGGGAAAACAAAAAAAGAGGAGATTTTTGGTTTTAAAAAAGTTTGGTGGATTGGTGAAAAATCGGAAGTTGAGAAGTTTCTTTCGACGGTTTTTTTTTTCTTTTTTTTTTGAGAAAGCTGACGGAAAACACTCTGTTTCGTTGGCATGAAGAAGGTTTTGCGGGAAAGTGAAGGAAAGTTTCAGTTGAGTAGAGTGTGACACATAATAATAATCTTTGTCTCTAACCATCGGCAGATTTTTGCTTGCCTCCTAAGCATCACCATACTTTCTCAATCAAGTCAACAACATTGCGTAAGACATTTAATCATATAAAACTAACACGCATACAAAGTTTGGATAGCTGAATAGTAAATAAATTTTATTATCACTCATATCTATTAATAACATAGACATAAAACCAATTAAAATCATATTTAGTAAAACTGTTTATAATTTTTACATCCTTTCAAATTATTACCTAGTAAAAAGGTAAAGTATATTAAGCATCTCTTTCTTTGCTCTTTCGTTTCGGCTTAGATTTGCACCACACTTGGAAAATAAAAACAGGACACAAGCGCGGGATCAAACGGGAAGTCTCTAGTTCTAGGCATCCTCACATTCGGAGTTTCTTCAAGACTCACAGATTTGAAGTAGCCATCTTCTCCAATGATGTAAGCTGTTAGCTGCATATCATCTAAAACCACAACGACTTTCTTCTCCTCGTTTATGAAGAAGCTCCTAGCTTCATAGCCCAACCGTAAATCAATAGGTAGTGTTGTGATATCCACTTTCAAAAACTTGCTCCACGACACCGAGACCATGTTGGGCTCAATCTTATTGGTAACCCAAATCTCCAACATACTAGTAAATTGATCCCAATCCCACGTCTTATAAAGCACCACGAGCTTCTCTTCCCCAACACAAGATAGAGTCACAGTCTCTACGTCATAAGAGTTAAACGGCAGAGGCAGACGCTGTCCAAATCTCTCTCTTGTAAAATCAAAACAGAGAAAAAAATAGGAATATTCCATTTTCTCAGCTGCAGCTTTTCTTTTTCACTTTAGCAAAAAAATAGGTATTTCCCTTCAACGTCATGCCGCGTTGATAATAGTCTATTCTACAGTCGGGTTTCAAGTCAAGAACCCTCCATGAACTTGAGCTAAAATCGTAGATTTCGAACTCACTGATGTGACGAAAAGGATCACCGTGGTCAAACCTCAAGATTTTGTGGTTACGGTTGCTGTCGTATCCGAGAGCATAGCTGTCTAACTCGGAGAAACAAACGTATTCTAGGTCGGATCTATCTTGTTTGCCTCAAATACGGGTTCCACACCACGAGCTTCGTCGTGTCCTCAAGGCATAACACTAAGCCATCACAGTGAAAAACTTTAGATATTTCGACTTGATCAAGTAAAGCTACTAGCCTTGTAGATGGATCGAACAAGTCTTCATTGCGGATTCCTTGTAGATCGAATCTCAAGGAACAAACCTTATTACCTATGGTCATGAACCCTAGAAACTCATCCTGCCTTGTTGTTGCTTTACCAACAACCGAGTCTTTGGATAAAGAATTCCATAATTTGCAAGTTGATCGTACTGCTCTCAGAGATGTTATCGGGACCTTGGCGAGTATCTTCTCACCTACCAAATCATGTGGAAGATCGCACATCCTCGTAACCATTCTTCCAAGATTCAACAAACAATTTTTTTTTCTTCTTTTTCAAGAAAAAATAGTTTCAACTAACGCTGCTGTAGATTTTATCACATCTAATAACACAAGATACAAACTTTCAATCAAAAGCACTTCTGCATTCGAGATAATGCAAGAAGATCAGGGTCATGTTTCTGAGCTTAATAATATACACGCCGACACACGTCTAACCCTAATTCAACATGGGTTCAAATAATATATGATGGGCTTTTAATCACGGTGGTTGTCGGCATATATGTGCTCGTATAATTTTTTTATATATATAGTTAATTGTAATATTTAAATATTGATTAGTTTTTTTAAATATTGATATGTTTGTATATATATTGTTTTAATATTTTACAAACTTCTTTCTAAAACCAATGTATTTTAAAAACTTTATTTTTATAATGCTCGTAATAATATATAATCACAAATATAAAAGTTATGTTAAATAATAATTATTTTTTTTTAATATTTTTGAATATTTCTATATTATGCTTTATTTCTCTTTAAACAATCTACAATATGCTTTTTTGCGTCTTACATAATATGAATTTACAAATACATATATAATATATTTTAAGTATATATTTTTCTTGATTTATTACAAATTAAACTGAAATAGTTTTTACTATTTTTACTTATTATTAACAGCGGTGGTTGGCACGCATGTGCGGACATACCAATCACTTCACTACACTTAGAATATATAAATATTTTTTTTAAAATATAAATTGTATAATAATTAAAATAAAAATTAGTCTGTAATCAATCTTAACAAAATACATGCACGAAAAAGTTCGCATGTGACTTCAACTAATGTACAATTAATATTGATGTATGTACACGTATTTGTAAAAAAAATTGAAATATGGCTCTTAGGCGTTAAAAAGTTTTTAAGCGAGAGATTTATTTTTATATACTTCTATTTTTATTTCTTATTCATATTATTTCATCTTATTTTAATTTATTCTTTCGTTCAGTTATTTTTTATTTTATTTATGTTCTCAAAATTTTGATATACAATAAAAATAAATTTATATATATATCTATGATATAAAATTTATTTTTATTTAAAATATGATAAGAGATAAGATGAGATGGTAACATAAGTTATGTACAATTTAGAAAATAACAATGAAAAGATGATAAAAGTTATAGAAAAATATATGGTCCCATTAATATTATAAATTAATAATTAGTATATACTTTATTCATTTAGTAAATATTGGCTTGAAAAGAAAAATTATTTAAAATTACGTTTTTTAAAAAAAAATTCAATAAAATTTTATTATTTTTATTATTTTTAAAATTTTATTCTTTAAATTATTTTTATCATGATTGCATTTTATTTAAAATTGTATTATTTAATAATTTGTTTATTTAAAACTTGTTTAGATGTTATTAATATATTTTGTAAATTAATAACTTTCCGAAATAACAATATATCATACTTCAAGTATTATTAATAAATAGAATTTTTATTATTCTATTGGATAGTTTAGTATTATTTTTTCGTTTTATATGAAATTGTAATATATATTCATATATATAAATATTGTTAAAAAAAATTTGTAATTATATTTTATGAAATTATGAATATATGTTATAATAACTTTTATTTTCTGTTAATTTTAGTGTTATAAATATAATCTAGTTTATTTATGTTTTAATTCCACAATTTCTATAATTTTAATTCAACCAATCAAAACATTTCATTTATTTTAGAAAATTTGACATGTCACATTTACATATCATCAATTAAAAATACTAACTTTGGCTGTAGTGTTGACAAGTCAGCTATTTTCAATAATGTTATTTCTCATAGATACTCGCACGATCCACCAATATATATATATATAAATATAAATCCATCTTAAATTTATTTTTATATATTTATATAGAAACAAAAAAAAATCTTTCTCTATAAAGTTGAGCTTCAGTTTCTGACCAGACATCATTTTGCTTAGAATTAGATTGTGAAACTTCTCTGTTTTTTTGTTTTCTTTTTTTCTTTTTCTAGTTAATCGATTCTATTCTACATTTCCAATGTTACAACACAAATTCAACAAATGAATCTACAATTTAAACCGATTTCGGTTTTGCCTAATCTCAGCATCTCAATTTATCTTCCGGTCTACTGTCTCAAATCATGCCATCGAGCACAAATGCAACTGAACCATCGGCCAAAACTCTTTCAGTCTTTGCTCAAATGAGTTTTCAGGTTGAAAAACTCTCCACTTAACAGAGCTTCTGGTTTTCTACGTCTCAGTGGAAACAACTCTCTGTGACATTTCTAAGCTCGACCAAGAAGAAGACTGTGAGCTTCTATAGGAAACAAGATAGACGATGAAACTGACGTACGCGACAATCCCAGCAAAAACCAGAAACCCAACAAGAAACCCTTTCACTTCAGCCATGAAGAAATCAAGAAGAAGATACCCATTTATCATCATCACAAACACCGCCACAGTCCACGCTAGCTTCTGCAAAGATCCAAAACTGAGCTCGTCACAATCGAAAAGCACATCACAACAGCAGCAAACAGAGATTACAAAAACAAAAAACGTTCTTACCTCGAGAGAAGGTCCGATCTTGAAGACACCCATGATATGTTCTTTAGAAACCATAGTCAAAAGAGGAATAACAGCGAAAGGAATCTGCATCGACTGAAGAATGTTAAGCCACTCGTTTAAAACATCGAGCGATCCCTCTGATGTGTTGAACATAAGAGCCACGAACATAGTAGGCACAATAGCAAAGCTTCTTGTTATAAAAGCTGACAGCCATTGCTCCATCTGAAGATCTAAGAACCCTTCCATTATAAACTGCCCAGCGTAAGTCCCCGTTATCGTACTGCTCTGTCCTGCTGCTAACAAACCGATTCCCCAAATGTAAAGTATCGGGAAAACCCCGCCGCCATATTTCTCCTGCAGGTAGTGTCCCGCGTTGACCAGCCCTATACTCTCAGCTTGCTCGGTTCCATAGAACCCTTTGGCGAAAACAGCTGTTACGAAGAGATTGATCATGAAGGAGACAAGAAGCGCGGCCGATGACTCGATGTTGTAGTAGTTGAGAGCTTCCTGAACTCTGTTGATCTCCTTTGGGTTTGTCTTCCGAGACTGCACTAAAGCCGAGTGCAAGAACACATTGTGAGGCGTTATTACGCATCCCACCACTCCCACAGCTTGTCTGATTGTCTTTGATCCAAGTTTCGGGATAAGAATGCCTTTTCAAGCCATCAGATAAAAAGAAGAATCAAGAAATGGTAATCAATAATAGACAAATGCCTCATTTTTGTTCTGTTCAAGTACCTATGAATAGTTCTTCTCCGCTAGGCTTAGTTTCATTGAACATCCAAGCAAACGAAAGAGCCATTGTTGCAATCAAAACCGCGAAAAGCCCTTCTAGTTTCCTCATTCCACACTTCTCTAGATACGAAATCAAGAAGCTGTTTTTTTTTTTTCACAAAGATATATAATCATTAAAAGTTCAGAGAGATTTCAATTTTAGCGAAATTAAGAAGCTATTTCACCAATTTTGGATTGGGAGCTAAATCGCTTACCAATCGAACGACGTGATGATGACACCGACCCAGATAGGTAAGAACCCTCGGGTCAAGATCTGAAGAGCGATTGCGCTTCCGATGACTTCCTGGATATCAGCTCCGATCAAAGCGACCTCCGCCATGAACCAGAGCAGGATTCGCGCCCACGACGGATACTCGTTCCGGCAGATCTCCGCCAGATGCCGACCCGTCGCGACGCCGATCCGAGCCGAGAGAAGCTGCATCAGAAGTCCCATCAGCGTCGCCCATAGAAGAAGCCATAGAAGCGAGTACCCAGCCACAGCTCCGGCTTGAAGATCCCCTTCGATGTTTCCCGGATCTAGAAACGCTATGCTCATGAGAAACCCAGGCCCGGTGAATTTCCATAGCTTCGCCCACGAGAACGGAGGAACCGAGTCTAATGTGTTTTCTCCGTCGTCTTCTATGGTCAGTACCTGATTCTCCGGTTGCTCCGCCGGCGATTCGCGGAGCTCGTCGGAGTCTGGCTGAGAGGTTTCTGGGAGTAAGAGACGTTTGAATTCGCCGTTACTGTCGTTAGGTTGCTTTGGGCTATTTACTTGGCGGGAAACGGGTGAATCCGTCATCTTTAGTAACGGAATATTCTTTCGGCGTTACTGACGACGTTAATTTTTTTTTTTTGTAAAAATTAGTAGTAGTCAAGAAAAGTCAAATGAGAAAACCAAAAAAAAAATTCATTTTCTAAAAATGAATTATAAATGTTATCAAGAATTTCTATTGTTAGAAGGTTGCATCGTGATCAACCCGTTTTTTGATGATCGAGAATTTATGATTTTTGAATCATTTTCACAAAAACTGATATAACAGAATTAGTTGTCGTCGTCAAGAATTATAAGAATAAACATTGGTTTAAGAGATTTTTTCGGATTGAAGAGATAACAAGCTGAACAAGTCAACATACCATAGACCAGAGAACCAGTTAAATTACAAAACCCCTTAACCGGTACAGAATCAGACCAAAGCTAAGCAATTTTTCAAGCAAGTCAAAGAAGCATCAGAGCTGTTTCCTAAAGAAAGCAAACATCTTCAAAAAGAAAAATTTGAATGTGAAAAAGAAGAAAAAAAAAACAAACCGATCTTAGCTTGGGGGGACATAGACAGACCAAATGCATCAATCTGCAAGAGACTAAAGAGTCTTTAGTTCGAGCAGCAACCGGTTTTCTTCACGGCGGAGACATCAATATCGATCTTCTCTCCTTTGGAAGGAACGTTACCGGAAACTTCACCAGCCTCCATAGCTTTCTTGCTCACAACATGGTAAATCTGAGTGAGCACCTCAGAAAACGCGTTCTCGACATTAGTGGATTCCAGCGCTGATGTTTCCATGAAGTAGAGCGATTCATTCTCGGCAAAAGACTTCGCATCTTCGGTTTGAACGGCAATAAGATGTCGAAGATCGGATTTGTTTCCGACGAGCATCACGACTATGTTTGGGTCGGTGTGGTCCCGGAGCTCACTTAGCCATCTCTCAACGTTTTCGAACGTGGAGTGTCGTGTCACATCGTAGACAAGAAGCGCCCCAACAGCTCCTCGGTAGTATGCACTAGTGATTGCTCGGTACCTAAAACGAAAAGATCCAATTAACATAAGAAGAACCAACACTGAAGAGAGACTTCAAAAGCAATAATCTTCTCTGCTAAAAACAAAGTTATTTCCTACAAATCTGAAAACTTTCAGTCATAATCATTGATTAACGCAGGAAGACAGTGCATTAAAACTTCTTCACCTTCAGTGATTAGCTTTCTCGAGTTTTCTCTACTGCACTTCAGGATAAGCTTTGCCCTAAAGTCTAATGAAACTTGCTTAAGCTCTTTAGGCAATTGAACAAATCATCAATGCCAGAGTTAAATCCACAGCAATCAATTACAATTACAAACAAACAAAAAAGACTAAATTTATTTGCTTAGCTCAACAATTTTCGTTCTCGAGAACTAAAAACAGAGAGGAGTTGTCCTGAATCAACAATGTAAAGGGCAAGATCTAAAAATCCAGATCGAGAAATGAAGAAATGAAACACGAAACGAAAGGAAGAAAAATCAAAGAGGAAGCACAAACCTCTCTTGACCAGCAGTATCCCAAATCTGGGCTTTGATGACTTTTTCATTGACGTTCAAGCTACGAGTGGCGAACTCGACGCCGATCGTGGATTTGGACTCGAGGCTAAACTCGTTCCTGGTGAATCGAGAAAGCAAATTGGACTTTCCAACACCCGAATCACCGATTAGAACCACCTTGAAAAGGTAATCGTAATCGTCATCTGCTCTGTAACCCGCCATTGTCACTCTCTGCTTGTTTCACCCCCAAAATAAAAAGCTTCACTTCGATTTTGCTTTTTTTTTTTTTGTTTCTTTTTTTTTCTCTTTGGATTCAAAAAATTTCCACAGAAAGATAGAGACTTTTGAAAAACTAGGGTAAGACTTGTGTCTTTCTTGGCTGGACTAACACAATTACTGGTATGGGTGAAATTATTTTTGTCAAGGAAATGACCAAAAGCCCATGGCATTATTCGTCTGATCTGTGGCTTTTTTACCTTATGAAACTAGGGGTGGATCCGACATTTACTGTTTAATTTAATGATTTCAATTTCTTGAAAAGGTCAAAAAGTGGTGGCAGTCATGTTTACATTAGTAAACGGCGATAATCATCTGTTTGGACTTTGTATAGAAGGGAAACCCAATGAGTCCAATACGTACTATTTCAAAGCCCATGTGAGTTCTTAGATATATTTTCCATTAATTCGCTGATGATGTCTTTTAAATGAGTTGCATTATGTGGTTAGCTTCACATTTGTGAAGATTCATCATTTGTATTGACCTTTAGTTTCCCTAAAGCACAACTTTACTTAATAAGTACTATTTTTCTGTATGTTAAAAAACCCGTGAAAGACTATGTAGCTTAAATTAATGAAGTTAAAAATACTGTGTAAATTAATTAAATTTAACTAGGCTTGGCGCCATAAGTTTTATCTAGTTCTGTATTTGGGTATTGCCATGTGAAAGAGCATAATGATTTGTATAATATGTAATCCTAAAACGCATCTGTACATTAGAAAGAAACAAAAAGAAGAGAGAAAAATAGCAGACAAATGTTCTGTGCTCCTCTCCACTCATCCTCCACTATTTGCAGAAAATCCATTATTTTGTCATTACTGATTTACCATAAAGTCTCCATCAAGCCTTTCCTCATGAAACCCTCCAATAAAAAAATGTCACTTTTTCTTTCAATTTTGTCTTGATTTTAAATAATGTCGGAATCCCCATCTTCATCTTCCTCTGTTTTCACTCAGAACGTACCAAAACCAGTTTCGGACAAACTTCTACAGAAGTACATGGATGTGTCTGAGTTTCAGTTCGATTACCAGAAAAGTGGTATCTGGTCTCCACCGTTTCAACGTACGGCATTTCTTACACCGCAAGGCACAATTCTCACAGACGAAGAAATGGCAGAGAAATTCGAGAATCTTCTAAAACCTCCACGGATCAAAAGGTACAATCTTTATTGTTGTCGGTGAATAAGCTTTGTATAATTTTCATCTACAATGTACGAATCCGTATATATGGAATATACAATCTCTTTTTTTTTGTTTACATCTCAAAAGACTTTTTCAGACAGAAGAAACAAAAACAGAAAGTTACAAAAAAGTAGATGAAATCTGATTTAAACAGCAACAGTGCTCTGTTCTAAAGCTTCTTTACCGGTGATTCCATCTTTCAGATTCTTGAAATACTCATTGTAGTCTTTCTCCGGCGGTGGATTCTCAGGATCTACCGTGAAAGGTTCGCTAAACGGAACCGTACTTTTTACCTGAAAAGTGAAAACAAACAAACAACAAACAATATAGCTCAAATGAGAAATTAAACATCTTGAAGAAAAACCAGAAAGATCAAAACTTTATTTTATCCTCAATTCTATTAAAACCTCGAATGTCTTGTTTAGAGCAAACGGGCTTTCTAAAGCAGCAATGCATATACGTGCTACTTCGTCTCTCGACACCTTCCCCTATATAGCAAAGCCGAAGTTAGTAATGTTAGTTTAACTCAAAGGAGTTTTGGTTTCAAGGGGAAGCAAAACTGAAAATACCGTAATGTTGTCTCCTTGATCGAAAATGAGATCAGCTCCTGCAGGCTCTTCTGTTAAAGCACATGGCCTTACAATCGCAAACGGAATCCCACTTTCTCGTATGAGATCCTCTCCCTATTCGTTAAAAGAGAGCTTTAAGATCTTATGTAAATGACTTTTCCAATTTTTCTGAAAAGAAGAGGGTATATAGAGTAGAGAGACAAAACCTTTAACTTGTAAGTGAGAATGAAGTCAAGCTCCTTGTTTAATCTCACAGCCGGAGGTTGTTTGCTTAGATCCAAACCGGGTCTCTCTGGTCGGGTTACTCCCGCAGAACCAACATGAACAAACCTGTAAACCGTAAGTAACCAAAATGCCAATTCGGAGTTTAGTGAAGAGTTTGCTTTTCTGTAGAGCAAGAAACTGAATCAGACCTTGGAGTAACGGGATCTTGGATATAAGCTCGAATGGTCGATAGAGGAAGCTCGAAGGGTCCTTCTTTGAAAGTCGGGTTAAGCTTCCCGTCATACTCGAACTTGCTAAACATAAGCTGCAAAGTAAAAAGCAAACTGAATCAAACATTTATGAGAGTAATAAGTTTAAAAGAGTCGATAAAAAGGAAAAAAAAAAAAACCTGTAGTGAAATGATACTGCCTGGATTAAAAGGCGGTGCATCTGACTTTGTCCTTGCACGAAACACAGGTCTTAAAGACGAGAAAGGTAAGCGTACCTATGATTTGAATAAATATAGCACTGTTACTGATATACTGTACCCAACAAAGTATATCAAGAATATACGAGAAAATATAACTTTACTTACAGATTGCCATTGGCCTGGTGAAGTGTCGAAACTAGCAGTATAACCAACAGTATCCCAATCTTGGCTTGTCCGGACAATAAGCTTGTAACGGAGTCCATCTCCTTTAAGTCTTAGCTCTAGACCGTCATAAGCAGAGAGATTCTCTGTCTCGGTAAAGTTCTGGGAGAATTTTGTTAAGAGAGAAAAGGACTCATATGCTTCAATAAGATAAAACATAAAAAGAAAGATAGGAGCGATTCTGATATTAAAGTCGTACCCTTTACCTTGGTTCTGACACTAGTGAATCCGCCATTATTTGTCGTTGAAACAACTCCTAACAAAACATGTTTATGTTTATAAAAGTAGAAATTCAAGAGGAGAAGAAAAATTGTGAATACAAGTTGTTGTTATATTATCAAACCTTTGAAAATTCCAGTAGGTCCACCGTTTTCACCAGCGGTTAGATCTACTAGGAAGTTACTTTCGCTGACACCTCCCATTACAACATCATCCAAGGCTCCCCAAGGTAGATCTTTAAACGAGTTATCTGAAACAAATACATCGGTTAACTTTTTTTTTTACAAATGGCCAATGTCAAGTTATAAGAGGCTAATCAAGTTACTTGACTCAACTTACCCCCAACACCAAAAATAAGCTTCCCGTTCTCAAGTCCAACACCATCTTTCACAGCATTGATCAAGTTCTTCA